CCCTTCCCTCTCCTCCGGTACCCTCTTCCCCTTTTCTGCCGGGCTTCCTCCTTGCCGCCTCGGCATCTGCTTCGTACCACACTGTTGCGCGCAGGCAGAGAAGACAGAAGAGACGAGAAAATCCACCTGTAATTCCTTCTTAGAGCAGAGGGGGAGGCAGAGGGAGTCCTGCGCATAAAGGGGTGGGTGAGTGGAGGACAGAGTCCGGAACCGAAGCGAGTTTGATCTCTCCAGATTAACAGCTCCAAACGGGAACTCGGCGGCCCCAAAGCGGCGGGCGGGAGGCAGGGAATGGAAGCAGAAGGTGGCCGCTTCCAGTCAAGTCACCGAGGCGGCGGCCTGGCGGTCAGGCTCCGGGGCTGAGACCAGAAAGGGAGCTCTCATTGCCTGCGAAGACGCGCCGCTTGGCCAAGAAACTGAGCTGCCCGCCCAGAGAGAGGCCGGCGCGCGCTGCACACCTGGGCGCAACCAGACAAACAGCCGAAGGAGAGAAATAGGGGAGGCGAAGAGAGCCCCCTCCAAAAGCAGCCGCAGGGAGGATCGGAAACGTGGCCGGGGAGAAACTGCTTGCAGCATCTCCTCGCCCGTTTGGTTGCGTCTGCGATGTTTCCCGGTTGTTGCGTTAGGCTGACATTCATGAACTGCCAAAGGGCATTAACAAATAGTGATCAGTGTGGTGCGTAAGGGAGACTTCGCGCGCCTGGCACAGCCAAGAGGCAGTGTAGCAGTTAAGCTCTGGCCGTAATTGAATCTTCCGTGCCGAGATCGTTTGTCTGCAAAAACAGGCTGTGGACAAGATGAGGATTGACCTTCATGTCCGGAGCCAGAATTCATCCTTTCAAACATACCGTGTGCCCCGTGCTTTCCTCCCGTTCTTGTTCACCCCCCTAGAAGGTGGAGCTGTTCTGCTTGCCTGCCTCCCTGCAACGTCATCCCTGCAGCCTTCCGTCCTGGGAATGCCCTTCCCTGGGTCAACTTGCTACTGCTGCTGCTTGGAGCTACAGCCACCTCTGCTTGCTGCAGAGGGGTCTTTCTCCAGCAGCTGTGGAAGTGAAGCCTGGCTGCATGCAAAGGAACAGGAAATTGTGCCAGTCTAGTTCCTGGTTATGGATGCAAGGCGGGTTCCTGAAGGTCGTCTCTTACTGTAGAACCAAAGTGCTGACTCAGGAGAACAACAAAATCCAAACCAGGAGGAGACTTTGGTGGGAGGGAAGCATCACTATGGTGCCTCCTCGGTGAAGGCAACAGATGTGACAGACCGGAGAAAGAGATGTTTTTAACGACTAGGAGAATGACATGCTTTCTTCATGCAAATACCTTCTCTTCTTTATATTTGGTATTTGCCCTTTTTCACACAAACCCCAGCAGAGTGCCTGAAACTGAGCAAAGGGTCTGGTGCTAGTTTACAGTGGGCACACCTCTTACAACTATTTTTCTAGTTGAGATTCTTCTGCCCCAGCTTTTGTGCTCCTGGTAACATTCTGCTTTACTGACACTCAAAAAGGAGAACAGAACAATGCACGCTCTAAGCTATGCCAGCATAACCTTTCACTGTGTTTGTGTTGGAACACCTGCAAACATTTCAAGGCAAATGACTGAAAGCGTGGGGGGAAAATGGCAATCTGACATATCTGAAAGAGGTGGGGGAAAGTGAATGAAACCTCAGAAATATCAGTATGATGGGAGGGAAAGAGTCATACTAAAAAACTGGATTACCAGGATATAAATTGAGAACAAGCTTAGGAGGAAGAAATTTAGAAGGAAAGGGTATTTCTTCCTTATCTGACCTTGAACAATGTCACAGGCCTCTGCAGCAAATATTAACAGGATATACTGGTTAACAGAATGACAATGAGAAAAGGCTGTTCACAGTTACTAATTCTAGTAAGAGCACCCCCTTACTTCCTTCCCCACTACAGAGAAACTCGGGAATTCTGACACTTCCGTGTTCCTTAGACTTTACCAGTCACCTTGGATCAGAGTTTTCATTTTATTTCAGCGAAGATAGTCTAGCTAAGTAGCTGATGGACTTGTCAGGTGCAAGAATTGTAATGATAATTCTTCATGTATCGCCATGACTGACTGACTTCAAGAGGAGCATGTATTCTCCGTGTTTAGACTGAAAACAATGTACGTAGCTACTAACATTCATGAGGGAAATTTTTGAATTAGCCAGTTCAGAACACTGGTGAAAAAAAAATAGCTAACCTTAAAGAAATATTATTCTATTTGCTGGTCAAGAAAGGTAAAGTAACATTTGCTTCACATCACAGTGAACCTTTTGTCCCAAGCCTGCCAGTTTTTGAGCAGAGCTGGAAGCAATGAAGAAATGTAGCACCATTTCTGCTGACCTGGTAGACCTATACGATACGTTGCTAGTATGAAGTTTTCAGAATGTTTTATCCCTTCATGAAGCATCTTGTGAAACCACACGTAAGCAATCCAGTATGCTGCTAGCCTGCCAATTCAGCAATTTTATTATGGGGGGTGGGGGGGCAGGGATTCTCTGTATGGATTTCTGGCTTTTAGACCAATGATTCTGGTGATCAAAAATTAGAAACTGAAAAATTGAAACTGAAAATTAGAGGCTAGGTTCACACAATCTGCTAGGTTGATTTATTTGAGGTGGTGAGTGAATGGGGAATTTAGCCAGTGGTGTGGTGTACTGTGTAAACCCAGCCAATTTGATTAATTCAGTAAACAGTGGTCCAATAAACCATAGCTTTAACCTAGTAGACGGCAGATATCAAAGGCCTTTACAGCCTTTATAAAAATAAAGCCAGACAACAATTTTGGGATTTCACTAGGGAAAAAATATTTGAGCCAAATTAGGTAGTATAACTTAATGATTGGAGGAGATCAATCACCCTCAGTTTATATAATCCCTCTTCCTAAATTAAAGAAAATGCTCTTCTTTCAGAGTCAGACTCTACCCTGAGTTGTGAACTCTGGTATTATTCCAAGTACATAAAAAGTAATCATAGCCATATTGGTACATGAAAAATGAAGACTGAAATGTCTTTTGATTTCTGCTTTTGGCCAAAAATTATGTGCTTTCCATGGAATCAGACAGATCAGGGATGGATACTTTTTCTGTTAAAATAATTATATATACTTAAATATATATCATGTTTTCTGTTCTACTAAAGAAACATAAATAATTATGACAACATAATGGTGCAAACAAAACAAAAATATCAATTCATCTGTCAATATTGTATAGATACTGAGAAACAAAATAATCTAAACTAACAATTAAGAATATAAACAAATAAAACTGGACCCAACCTTTCTGACAACTTTCATCCACCCTCCAACCTTCCTGTTTTACGGAAGGTTGCTGAGCAAGTGGTAGCGTTACAGGCACTGTAGAAAACAGGTTATCTAGACTCTTTGTAGTCAGGTTCCTGATGGGACATAGTGCTGAGGTGGCATTGGTTATGCTTGTTGATGACCACTGGAGAAACCAGGATAGGGGTAGCGGAACAACTCTGGTTTTCCTTAATCTCTCAGCAGCTTTTGTTTCTATTGTCCATGATCCTTCTGTATCACCAATGGGGATTGGGAGTGGGAAGCACAATGTTTCTGTGGTAGTTCTCTCCCTTTCTCTGTAACCGGATTCAGTCAGTATTGGTAGAATGGGGGTGGGACTGGTGCACAATTTGTAGACCTTCTATTCACAGCTCCCCTTCAAAGAGCAGCTATCTCAAGGAAGGCCTTTGCACAAATTCCTCTAAGTGTGCCAATTACATCCATATCTGGACTGAGAAGACCTTAGGACAGTCATTCATGCTTTTGTCAGCTGATGTTTGGACTATTGCAATGCAGTCTACACAGGGTTGCCCTTAAAGACCACTCATAAGCTGCAGCTGGTCCAGAATACAGCATCACAAGCAATTATGGAAATGCCCTGGTATGCCTATGTAACACCACTGCTTCATGAGCTGCACTGATTATCACTTATATAAAGGACTTATATAAAGTTCTTCCTGACATGGGACCTGGTTATTTGAAGGACACTCTATCTTCTGTAGCTTCTGCCCATCCTATACAACTGGGCAGAGCTGACATGCCTTATGTCCCGTTAATTAGAGAGTGTCACTTGATGGGATCCAGGAAGCAGGCCGCCTCTGTTGCATCACTTGCCCCAGAAATGATTTTCCCCCAGAGATTCATACACTGCTCACCATGGCCCTTAAAACCTAGTTCTTCCCCCAGGCCTGGGGCTAGAGTAGATGGTGGGCCGTTTGTGGTATGTTTGGTTTGGTAGTGTTGGCATTTTTTTATACTGTCCAGAATCAGGATGGAGTTGGGTGACTTATAAATTAAACAAACAAACAAACAAATAGGGACATTTATATCATAAACAAAACCAGAAATGTAGTCTGCTGTTTTAGAACTCATGCACTGTTCATGACAGCTAGGCATAATGAAATCTAACTGTAACGTATAATGTAGTTTCAAAACAAAGAAAGAAAATACCATGGCAAAAATAAGCAGATGCAGCAGATAAAATACAGAGCATGAAAAACT